ACTGGTCGCCGAAGCGATTGGTGACGACCAACAACGCTGGTCTCCGCGTTACCGCGACCCATCAGGCCGCCCGGGCGGTGACGCTGGCGTTCCGGGATATCCTGTTGGGTCAGAACCAACCACCCTGCCGCCGGGTCGACACGCAAACGCATCAATGACTAAGCCGCTATCTGATTATTTCGATAGTTTTAGTGACACAAAACGTAGTCCGGTCAGTGCGTTTAAGGGTCCGATATTCAGGAGCACAACCTACAGTATAGTACAGTCGCACTTGCAAACCGGATTCACTCGGCTGCTCGTGTATATGGTATTAATTCACTAGCCCGCGTCGGACTCTCTTGAACATTCTTAACAAAAAAATATTGTTTTCTTCGCTATAAAAAACGAGTTTTGCGTCTTGTATGGCGGCCGGTATATAATACCGTTATGTGAATGACGCTATCCAATAGGAGACCTGAGAACAGTCTCAGTTGCGACTCGCCATCCTATGCTTCAAGTCTGAGTGTATCGTGGCTGAAATAAGCTTAACCGTGGCATAGGCAGCAAATCTTGCGCTATTTACATGTTACTCAATCCAAACCTTAGTTACTGTTACGACCATCCTCATGCTTCGGTTTGAATGGTGAAATAGCCGATATACAGTAAGTACGACGGAGATTTCTCGTTTCAAGGTGGATAGCATGATTACGTTGTCGTGGACATACGGAAGCTATTTAAAACAAGGCGGGTCGTGGTTGTATATATAGTGGTCACCATATAGTGAAGGCAAAAAAATTAAAGGACCTAAACTAATTCGTCGTGATGTAATTACACAAAGATTCTATTATTCCTTTGCTGTTACCAGATTGTATAATGGTGAATTTGGTACAAGACAACTTAAAAAAATTTACATAGGTATCCCGGGATCGAATTAGAGGTCTCATGCCGGACGGTTTTGCCCGTGTCAGATCACGAACACTTTGTTGGGGTTGATTGTTCTGTTGACACAACTCTTGAAGTCCATCCAAGTGATCCATGTAGGCTGCAGTGACTTTGTATTGCAGTAGATTGGATTTCATATCCACCTGTAAATACAAAACACAAACAAACATATTAGATCGTTAAACTTTTGAGAACATCTCACGACATGTCTTCCTCGTACATATATTAATTGGGTTACGCAGATGGGCGGATAACAATGTCAATGGATTCAATCATCGACATAAATTACTTGTTATAGAAATCTAGAACTTACTTTCATAAAATGTGTAGTTTAAAAATTAAAAAGAACACGCTTAGTTATATAGCAAACCGAAGTAATTTTTTTATCTTATTGATTCTGGATTAGAGCGAAGTTATAAAATTATTTTGTCGCCATCGGTCGTTAGGCGCATGCAAATTTTCAGGTTAATCGGTGGTCTTGAAGTCCATTCCGTTACATACAAGCAAAAATACGTAACATGCTAACAAAAGCGTGTAAAAAGATCTAATGGCTTTTATCTCTGATAATATATTATTAGTCCATAATGGTTGCTTTTTTTATTGTTTAGATGGGTGGATAAAAAAATATGTAAATATAAAAGCGATAGTGTTTGTTTATTTGTTCACGTCTTAACCGCTCAACCGATCGTCATGATATTTTTCGTACACATTGTCAGAGGTACAAAATAAAACATGGACGTCTTTTACCCGGAAAAAAGTACCATAGCTGAGGGATAGTTTTTTTTTTAACGAGTGTAGTCGCTAGAAAAATTTAGTTAACACTTGTACACACTGTAATATGTGAATGAAAGTGCTTTTCACATCGCCGTGTCCAAATAATTAAATTAAACTAGAGGTCCCGCGGTAGTCGAAGTTCGACTATAATTAATTGGAATTGTAAGTTTGTACACTATTATGATTGTATTTTATATTTCTATAATCACAAATTTCGCCAAGACTACACTATAAAAAACATTAACAAAGACAAACATATTTAATCTCAATTTGACCACAGACGTCAAGAACAAAAGTTTGACAATAAATACTATGAATGCGTGTGTGCGTCAAATACACGGTATGTAGTGTGTGTAATGTTTTTTTTATTGATTTAATGTATCTTTTAAGCATTATTTAAAAAAAATACATATTAGCATTGTGCACTTCTTCTCTATATTCTCTATAAGTGTGGAAAATTTCATACTCCTCCGTCCGCGCAATTTTCGTAAAAAGGAATACAAAGTTTTTGCTTCACGTATTAATATATAGATAGTTTACACAAAATATAATTTGTGTTTCGTTGACTGAACAGACGCGTGTTATAAATAAATACACACGGGCACGCCGCCGACGGAAGCTGTTCGTTTTTTACGCTAAACGTGTCATACATTTTACAGAACGAATGTTATCCTTTTACATCTGAGTGGTTTCTTTTTGAACTTCTCCTTCCTTAACCTGCCAGCAATAACTATAAAGTTACCAGATATCATCGCCGCCATCCATGCAGTAAGCATGTGTAGGAGGGAACCCGAACTCCACTGGTGGTTATGTGTGAATATATGAAATCTGTTCTGGAGTTCTCGTGAATGCCCTTTCGTAACTTTTTTTGTTTTTTGTTTTTTTATTGCTTAGATGGGTGAACGAGCTCACAGCCAACCTGATGTTAAGTGGTTACTGGAGTCCATAGACATCTACAACGTGCCACCCAACTTGAGATATAAGCTCTAAGGTCTCAAGTATAGTTACAACGGCTGCCCCGCCCTTCAAACCGAAACGCATTACTGCTTCACGGCAGAAATAGGCAGGGTGGTGGTACCTACCCGCGCGGACTCACAAGAGGTCCTACCACCAGTGAAGTTGTTGAATAACCTGTTGACGTTGCAAATGACATGACCGTAGGCGATTACTGTTTGTTTGATATCATCATCATCAGCCCACAGTCGTCCACTGCTGGACATAGGCCTCTCCCAATCCACATTACTGAACCTGGTCTTTGACTGTCCTCAACTACTTCTTGCCGGTCAGTCTTGATCAATATGTTATTGATTTATTGAAGTTCGGTTAGGATCTATTGAGATGTCCGGTGACACACCAGGCATGAGGTGGATGCCATCCGCTTTCATTACCGACTTATTAATTGGCCTCATAAACGTCGTTCGTATGAGAAACTAGCTGTACTCGCCCGCTTCGCTAGGCATTTAAAATTAACATTATTATTGCTCACCCCCACAAAGATTCTCATCATTAACGCCCCCGCAACTGGTCCAACACTCATATAAATATTAGCCTATCCATTAAGTACATGTATTTTCTACATGGATACCAAGTTTCAAGTCAATCGGATGCATGGTTCAGTAGTTGTAACGGAACATCCGTAAAAACCACTGTAGATTTATATATTAGTACTAGCTGACCCGGCAGACTTTGTAGTGCCTAAATCGATAAATAAAAGACCTAATCTTTTGTATATAACTAGTCAGGTCATAAGTATTGTCACACAGTACACAATTTTCTTTTAGAATGCTGGCCACAAAAAAGTTTATTGAATTCGAATTTCGAATTGTTCATGAAAATAAAAATGTATACTTTTAGAATTTTACTCATTTTTAAATATGGAGTGGACGCTTAAAGAAGACCGTGTTGCAGTTATTGCGTTGCATCGTTGCGGTTACGCGCCAATTCAAATTTTTAACATACTGAAAATTTTGAATATAACCAAAAGATTCGTTTATCGTACCATCAAACGATACAATGAAGACTCTAGTGTAGATGACAGGTCAAGAAGTGGTCGCCCTCGGTCTGTTAGGACTCCAGCAGTGATAAAAGCTGTGAAGGCGCGAATTCAAAGAAATCCCAAACGTAAGCAGAAACTGTTGGCCCTTCAGATGGGGTTAAGCAGAACCACGGTGAAAAGGGTGTTAAATGAAGACTTAGGGCTTCGGGCATATCGAAGAAAAACAGGACATCGTTTGAATGCTCGTCTAATGGACCTGAGACTGAAGAGATGCCGCGCTTTGTTGAAGCGGTACGCGGGAAAAAAATATCGGGAAATTCTTTTTTCGGATGAAAAAATTTTTACCGTAGAAGAGAGCTACAACAAACAAAATGATAAGGTGTACGCACACAGTAGTGAAGAAGCGAGCAACCGTATTCCGCGTGTCCAACGAGGTCATTTTCCATCCTCGCTCATGGTATGGTTGGGAGTTTCTTATTGGGGCTTAACAGAGGTACATTTTTGTGAGAAAGGTGTAAAAACGAATGCAGTTGTGTATCAAAATACAGTCCTGACGAACCTTGTGGAACCTGTTTCTCATACCATGTTCAATAACAGGCACTGGGTATTCCAACAAGATTCGGCGCCAGCTCATAGAGCGAAGAGCACACAAGACTGGCTGGCGGCGCGTGAAATCGACTTCATCCGGCACGAAGACTGGCCCTCCTCCAGTCCAGATTTGAATCCGTTAGATTACAAGATATGGCAACACTTGGAGGAAAAGGCGTGCTCAAAGCCTCATCCCAATTTGGAGTCACTCAAGACATCCTTGATTAAGGCAGCCGCCGATATTGACATGGACCTCGTTCGTGCTGCGATAGACGACTGGCCGCGCAGATTGAAGGCCTGTATTCAAAATCACGGAGGTCATTTTGGATAAACTTTAGTGTCATAAGAATCTATGTTTTGTTAAGTTCTTTTTGGTATATGAATGGTTACATAATGAATAAACTTGTTTCAATTATTTTACATTAAACATGTGACAGAATTTATGACCTGACTAGGTAAAATAAACTTAAAACAACAAAAGCAATCCGTCTGACGGGGGACATATTAAAGGGAAAACAAAATTGCTATTTTTATTTAATTCCGAGCATTTTCATATTTATCTACCTTTTAAACCTTCTCTGGACTCCCCCTACAAATAATTCAAGACCAAAATTAGCCAAATCGGTGAAGCCTTTCTCGAGTTTTAGCGAGACTAACGAACAACAATTCATTTTTATATATTAAAGTATAGATGAGAATGTATGTATGTTGTATATTCCAGAGAGGAGGTGCGCAACCACGCCGTCCGGTGGAACGCTCAGTTCACGTTCATGTGCAAGATGTGCGCCAACGCCAGCACCGGAGTCTTGGAGCCGGCGCTGCTCAGGGTCTCCGTCAGAAAAGAGTGCAAAGGTAAACTTTACTGTCTCACATTCCTAAACCATTCAACGCCTTGCGCTTTGATCTCGCCAAGTGTAGGACGTTCGTTTTTTTTTTTATTGCTTAGATGGTTGGACTAGCTCACAACCCACTTGGTGTTAAGTGGTTGCTGGAGCCCATAGACATCTACAACGTAAATGCCGCCACCCGCCTCGAGACATGAGTTCTAAGAGTTCAGTATAGTTACAAATGTAATAGTTGATATAATAAAGTAGTTTTTGATTTTCACAATGGTCGTTGTGGTTCCAATTAAAAAAAGTACTGTATTTTATGCGAATTATGCCTCTTCTAAATATTCAAACATAGAATTTCCTAACTTAATTTGATCAAGGAGTAATTTATCTGGTAACAATGGGAAAATCTATAAAGTTTCATTAAATTTTCCCCGAGTACTGTTGAGCTTCGCTTTAAAACATGCCAGCAAAGTTTTGAAGTTGTTATAACATCCACAATGAACCGCCAATTCATTGTGAATGTTATAACTTTAGGATTTGGATTCTTCGCTATAAAAAGACTATCGTTCATAAGTCTTACTTGTCGTCTGTGATGTTAGGTGGTACATCTGGTGTACCCGCAGCCCTACGACTGCCGTGGTCAGAACTTGGAGCAAGGACTAAATTATACAAATAATTATATACCTCGTATTGAATGTTTAATAAAATCTACTCGAAAGATTTCTTAATTCGGACCATTCCCGGTAGTACGAATATTTTTTGTCCCTAATTGCTTTTGGTTTATTACACTTGAGTCTCGGTTTGAACTATAGAAAAGCTATTATTGGTCAATTCTAAATTATTTCTGCAATCTTATAGGAGGTCAGAGGTATCCATTCAAGCTGTACAGTGTGTTAAAAAACTGTTGCTCTATTTAAATTGCGTATGAACGTTGGCATTTTGCAGGAGGTAGATCGTATCAGAAGCTGGGCTTCTGCGACTTGAACTTGGCGGAGCTGGCGGGCGCCGGGGAGACGACGAGGCGGTGCCTGCTCGAGGGCTACGACAACAGGACGAGGCAGGACAACTCGGTGCTCAGGCTGAGGATCAAAATGAACATGATCTCGGGCGATCCCTTGTTTAAAGTGTAAGTTGTTTACTCAGTATTTAGGTCACAGCTTAGGCTTCATTTTGCACCTAAACTTTATCTATTATGTTTGCCTCCTGATTTTAAAGTTGACTGCCGATAGTGATGCTGCACGGGTTGGTACCACCACTCACTCTTCTTACATCTGCCGGGAAGCAATGATGCGTTCCGATAGGATAGTCGTTTTTGCCAAGCTCTTAAGGTGGGCGTTTGTTAATGTCTATAGACTCCAGTAACCACTTTACACCAGATGGGCCGTGAGCTTATTGACCCGTGTAAGCAAAATATATATTTAACTGTATACAGTTGATACTACAGTGCTTTTAAGTATTGCGCGTCACATTTTACTTTGAAGTTCTAAGAACTACATATTTCGATTAAATTTCGAGTTATTTATTGATTTGTGAATTTTCTTGGTTTCGGACGACGTTGATTAACTGGTCAGTGCTGATTTCTAGGCCAGAAAGGAAGCAGGAGGTGGCGGACAGCAAGGGCGGCGGCGACAGCGGGTCGGAGAGCGCGGCGGGCGGCGCCCCGGACGACGACTGCGCCTCCTCCACCGCCAGCTCGGGCTTCGGCTCGCTCACCAAGAAGAAGAACTTTGGTATGTCCTGCCTACAGTTGCCGTGCTGTGATGCTCATCACGACATTCTTCTCGTGATTTCAACATTATTAAATATTTAAATTTTATTTTGAAATGTATGTATTTTTGGCCAAGGTTTTTCGAATATCTAAAGCAGCGGTCGGGGAACTTTATTAATTATTACCCCAAAATATTTTTGTGTAAATTGATATTACCCCGTGGGGAAGAACAAAAAAAAACGAAATCGCTTCTTTTTAGCATCTTTCATATTTATAGCCCCCATGATAATTTTGAATTTGAAAAAAATAATTTTTTGTCGTTTCATTTAGTTTCATCGAGTTTGAAATCACAACGATTCTAAAGAAGTTTCACTTTAATATATACTTTTTACTCACAAAAGTTTCATTTTTACCCCCCAAAATTACATTTTACCCCATTTGGGGTAATTTACCCCATTCGGGGTAATTTACCCCGGTTCCCCGACCGCGCTTGTAGGCAGACGAGCCTACGGCCCACCTGATGGTGAGTGGTTACCGTCGCCCATGGACTTCAGCAATACCAGGGGCAGAGCCAATCCGCTGCCTACCCAAACGGAAGGCACAAGTTAATTAATTCATAAATGTGGTATAAATCAGCCTTTGTTATACGATTTCTTTGTATATTTGCAGACGGTGGAGTCTCGCAGTCCCTAACGCTAGTACCCTCGTGTGAACTCCCCACGCCGGACTCTGACGAGTCACCTCTTGCCACCTCCATACCTGACCATCCTGGTAAGGACAATCTCGATAACCCGATCCATCAAGAATATGTGTAGCAATTTCATAAAGTTCATTCAATCTCAATCAGTTACAGCGGAATCGGGTTGTACTAATCGTAATATCGAGGGTTGAAAGGATATTTAAGCGACATCTCGTCGCTGTCAAATCAAAATCTGCTATATGCAAAAACTCTATTTTGAATTAACAAGTAAAAACATTTTCGTATAAAATTATATATGAAAGTGAATTTTTAAGAACTATATCAAATGAAAGCTATAGATAAATATTAAAGCTATAAACAAATAACAGATACACGGTAGATAGGGCTGTGAAAGTGCACATAGCAGATTTTGATTTGACAACGACGATTTTTACAATTTTGTAGGAGAACCATTTAAAGATTAAAATTTTGAAAAAATATTATACCAAAAACACTTCTGCATCTATTTGAATGGGGTAAACATCATCGAATTGATGCTAATGTCAAATAAAACGCACCTTTAATTACAGAGATTAATGTCGCGTATTAAACGAAATGTCGCTTAATTAAACCAAATAAATAGCCTTTCATCCCTCGACATAAATAATGCAATTGTTAAATCTTTACATATATACAAATTGCTCATAGTTCCCCTTTTTAAATAGGCAATAATGACTTTTATACTTGACAGTTGGTATAGATGTTCTAACACGTCTTTAAGGAGTGCGGGAAATAATGTGAGTGACTTTTTCAGCCTTAACGATAAGCGCGTGCANTTAAACCAAATAAATAGCCTTTCATCCCTCGACATAAATAATGCAATTGTTAAATCTTTACATATATACAAATTGCTCATAGTTCCCCTTTTTAAATAGGCAATAATGACTTTTATACTTGACAGTTGGTATAGATGTTCTAACACGTCTTTAAGGAGTGCGGGAAATAATGTGAGTGACTTTTTCAGCCTTAACGATAAGCGCGTGCACGACGGTACCGGCGCCGTCCTCCTGCGCCTCCTGCCTCCAGCACCAGCACACGCACTCCAGGAACTCGTCCAACACCTCGGGGGACATGAGCAGCAAGGTACGTCCCCACCGTCTGCGACCTGTTGACCCTCAGGCCACGCGGTGGTCTGTGGAGGGGGGTCGATTTTAACATCTAAACAGCGAGACAGAGAAAAAGTTCTTAGGATACTTTGTTGTATTCTTAAATTTTCCGTAATTAATGATGGTGGAGCGCGTTTTGAGCCCGCCGTAAGATACCACCATCCTATCCGTTTCTGCTACTATGTAGATCATGCGTCCAACTTGTACGACAGGACCGCCGTGTTGCAGTACACTTGAGACTTCATGTCTGAAGGTGGTATTTACATTTGGCATGGCTATTGGCTCCGATAAGAACTGATTGATATCCAGTTGATATCAGGGATTTGCAGGTGAACCGTGGGCTCGTCTACATCTGCAGCAATATAATAAAAATGAGTGGTGTGTTATATACAGGCGTCAGGGTACGGCAGCTCGTCGGCCGCCTCCGCACACTCGCGGCAGAGCTCCGAGGGGGACTCCGCGGGGGACGCCAGGCCGCACCACAACAGGTACACGCACACACACGCACACAGACGCGCGCACACGTACACGCACGCACGCACACAGACGCGCGCACACGCACTCATACACACGCACACGCACACAGACGCACACATGCGCACACCACACGCACACGGATCCAACAGGACTACACACTACTATCTTAACTTGGTGGTGATCCGTATTGAGCATATAAACACCGACGTTGCAGTTTCCTTCCCTGGTTTTTGTTAAATCTTTTTTGTTTTTCTTTTCTCGTTCTGTGTAATTTCGTTGTAAATACGACTCAGTGTCCTCGTAGATATACAAACAATAATGGATGTCATGCAAACACATACATACATAATATATGCATGAATTTTGTAATGAGACCGGTCGTGTACAGTGCCCGCTTGTTTACAAACTATGTTTATGTTGAGCACATCACTAACGTCTATATTTTTTATGTATACGCTTTATTAATTCAATTATTTTGTTTGTCCCCACCTCGACCCCCTTGCCCCCCTCAGTATTCGGTTAGAGCGCACAACCACTACCACAACAACCCTGTACGTCCCCTCCCAGACTTGCAAGCACACGGGCAGGGCGCTCTCCAAGCTCTTGCTCGAGAAGACCGTCATCAGCGAGACGTCGGACGTGTTCCTGACCCCCAACACGACCCTCACCGGCCCTCCCGATGTGATCCCCCGCCTCGCCTTGCAGTCCCCCTCCAGCGAGGAGTACAAGACTCCGGACTCGACTCTCATAGAGAACGGACATGAAAACTCGTTCGCGATGCCGACCTACTTCGACAAGAAGAGGAAGGTGGCCGCGACCATCATCAGTGCCGCTGTCGAACCTCTCACCAACTTCCAGATCTTCAAACAGAAATCTCTGAACACGATCCCGGCGCTGCTCGAGAAGAATAAGAAAAACGAGGAGCTATTCAACAATTTCCCGTTCCTTACCCCCCTGGCGCACAGGAAGAACTCGCTCGTGTCCAACGCGAACCGACTGTCCGGCTGCATAGAGGACGAGTTCTACTGCATACCCTCCGATCCGGAGGCGGACCCCGGCTCCGACAAAGTGGACATCAGGAACAAGTTCAGAAGTCTCTCAAACCACGCCCTCAACGAAGAGGTGTTGACTTCCACGCCCAAAGCAGACGTGGTGGACGGAGTGATGCACTGCCAGAGGATGCCGTCCCTGCGACACAGCTACACCGGCGCCCTGAGGTGAGTGTCCCGTGTGCTTGCTTGTCCCTCTGTCTCCCTCCCTTCCTCCTGTAACGTCTGCGTACTAATCGGGGCTTAAGGCTATTCAAGGATATGTTCTGTACTTGTCTCTTCTCTAATGGTGTATTTTTCTGTTCTGCTAATTAAAAAAAATGGTTTAGTAATTTATGATGAAGCAAATAATGCCTGTTTCTTTATAATATAAATAATTATTAAGGTTTTGTGGTCTATTATTTTACTTCAAATAATTTACTACTAGATATGTGTTTTATTTACAAATATTTTGTAATGATGTAAGCGTACATACAAGTGCGGCGGCCCGGTGCAGTTCCGGCGGCGGCCGCTGCGACGGGTGCGGCGCCACTGCGCTGCGGCCGCACGCCTCGCCGCTGTACGTCACCCCGCCCCCGACCCCCCGGCCCCCGCCCCGACCCAAGCGGTCACACACGCGGACAGACCGTATGCGCTGTTCGTAGGCTGATAGTGCATCCATCCATTAACGAATTTAGTGTAATGGGTGGAAAGGTTCTTGAGCATTTCTGCTTTAAAATTAGGAATACGTATCCGTGAATTATATTTGAAAGTATCTGAGCCACGTGTGTGACCACTGTGTGCGTGCGGATGAATTATCGTTGTGTTTACACAGCTCGGTAACAGTGACAATATCCAAACCAAGAATCGATTTTACATTCCGTTGCTTGTTATCAAATAATATTTTTATGCTAGTTCCTTCAAAAGCCAGTAACTTCAAAACCTTATGGTCTCAGGTGCCGTGCCAGTCGGGGTATCCATAAATGTTTTTTTCAATCTTTGATTCATTAAAAATGAAATATATTTCTACCAATTTTACTTTAAAATCTAGTCAAGTGGCGCCCCTGTCTTCGCGAACTTGTATCCTAAAAAACTTAGATAAAAATAAATTTTATTTGATCCGTTAGTGATCTATTGACACTACGTTTGTGTTTTATACTTTTGCACCGCACATATAGGTAAACAAGCAATGATTCATTACTGAGTGACCGTACATTCGTCGCTCCGCACCTTATCGCCATCATTATTGATTCATAAATCACCCGACTACTCGTGTGTCCATCATTTGGCACGGATCTTTTAATAAAAAACTTGCTAAAATAAAATTATGTAATCGTCAATTTGTTACATATTTGACTTGTTTTTTTTTTGTAATAAGGTTCTTATTGGCTTTGGAATTAAAATTTATCTGAGTATTCTGAGTAAAAAATTGTAAAAAATATTGATAATTTGAGATGCATTATTGACACACTCGTATTTATATAAATAAAAAATTGTAGGTGTTTATTTATAGGTTTTGGCACACACACTTTATTTATTAGACTTTCAGATTTGAAACGGAAACATGATAGATATTGTCGCTGTTACCCCGCTCGTGTTTAGTGTCAGCTGTAGTAGATTTTGGAACCATAACACTCAGTGAATCACCGCTCGTATTAGATCTGCCACTACCGCTCCGGTATCCTGCCGCCAACGATACGAAAACCTTTTGTAACGAAACTGATTTTTGTGGTTTCATATTTGGATGTTGTAATGTGCCGTGTGTTTCATTATCGATATTAGATTTTGATATTGTATAAAATATAGCCATCCTGAATATAATCAGTAATGTGTAATTATATAATTTAGTGAATCATTGAAAGGTATTTCAATGCATAAGTAACAAAATAGTTTTAGTGTAACTATATAACCTAAGACCGAACGAGAGACACGTTCTCGCTATCCTACTCGTACGTCGGTTCTATACTGATGGTGACGTCACTTATATATTTTAGACAACTACCCCGAGCAGCAGATTTCAAATGCCTCTACACATCTTATTCTACACGGGCTCAGAACATAACCTAGACTTAGTCGATCGTCGCACCTGCTAAGTTTAACTTTTTGACGATCTACTCTTGTTATTTTTATCGAAGCTTACACTATTAAAATATAATTATAGAGAAAAAAAGCTCAATACCTCTCGATGATTCAGATGTCATTGATGTGTTTTTTCTTACAAATCATTTTTTGACTGTGTACTGTTGAGTCTCTAAGTAAACATATTATTCTATCTTTCTCTTCTACGACTACATTATTATTGCTGCTGTACACAATATGCTCTTTTCTAATGTTTATTACTAATTTATCATTATTGATTAGCATGTCAAAATGTTTAAGGACATATGCTTGTGTAGAAATTTATTGTACTTTTGTGTATATATTATAATTTATATTTATTATTTAGTGAAGATCACTAAGTCACTAAGCCCGTAACTAAATGACGGAGTGGTCCTGTCACTCGTAGGTATTATTTTTAAATGATATATTTAATATCATACTGTTTGCATTTGACCTCAAACAGTGGAGATTGGGAATATAAATAATGTCGATCTGACGGACCACGCTAATAGAACCTCTGGGTCTACAGNTATTATAATTTATATTTATTATTTAGTGAAGATCACTAAGTCACTAAGCCCGTAACTAAATGACGGAGTGGTCCTGTCACTCGTAGGTATTATTTTTAAATGATATATTTAATATCATACTGTTTGCATTTGACCTCAAACAGTGGAGATTGGGAATATAAATAATGTCGATCTGACGGACCACGCTAATAGAACCTCTCGGTCTACAGAGAGGATTCGGTTCTGAGCGAATATTTGGGATGATCCCGTCATCCATCTTTGAGCATCTTCCCACCCACTGCCGTTTCAAGTCACAATGTCCTTCACAGTGTACGCACGCGCGATGACGGTTGGTCCTGAGCTGTTAGACTATCAAGGGCAATAAAAAAAATATTTATGACAAGTAATCAAGAATTCTTTAAAGAATGATTGTCACCCGAGTTTACCGCCGCGTTCATGAATGAAGTAACGACACTGTGCCTAGGGATGTGCGTACATTTATTTAAAAATACATATTATATTATTATAATACAATTGTACGCACATTACGTCAATTCGTTTTTCAGTGGATTTTAGGTAGGCGAACTTGTAACGGTACAATAATAATTGGAATCTCAATAACTAAGAAATAGTTAAATATAAAATGCGACAAATCTGATTTATTACATAAATATATGTATATACCTTTATTAATTTAGATTTAACAGCATGTCTATATTTGCATTAAATAATTGTAGAAATCAGAGTCGTTCAGCTAAGTACAAAATAAGTTTTGAAGGAAAAGTAACCTAAAGGCACTTGAGAATAACGTTGACATTTGTTTCCGTAAAAACGACGCAATGAATTTCGGTTTTGATTTCTATAATTACAAAACACAGTAACGATCGGTGTTATGAACGATCGTGGTCCCGGGGCCACACCGCGCGCGCTTCTTACAGCATCTGGTTATGCTGATGGTCCAGTGATGCCAAGCGGCCCGGTACCACGATCCTTGCCATTACCGGTTAATCGGTGTCGTATGTTCTGGCGCCAGTTACTGTGTCACAAATAATATTTATGGTGACGTGGAGCATGGGTTTTTGCATGTTTGTCTATTTGAATGTAGTCTGTTGGTGACATTCATTTCTTAATTATTATTAATTTGTAAAATTTATTCCGAATGATCCTAGTTTAGTTTAATCTCGATTTAAATTAGGATATTAAAGATGGTGAGCTAGTTATTCAATCCCATTGAAACTGAGTTTGGTTAGACTATAACTCGATGGCGGTCCAAAATTAAGTAGTATTACAGATTTTGATCTGCGTTGAGACGCCTGCTTGAGTGCAACAAACATGATGTGTGTTGTGATGAGTAGCGTTGTGTCCAGGAACCCGTCGTCGGCGTCCGAGGGTGGGTCTCTGGAGCGCGGGGGCGCCGCCCTAGAGCGACGCAAGCGGGCCGCCGCGCTGCTCGCCATGGCGCCGCCCGCCACCGACGACTCGCAGGTCTGTCTGTCTGTCTGTCAGTTAATTTATACATATCGATACTCCACTTCCAAATACAATTCAAATATATACAACTATTTATAAGTAACTGGTGTAGGGAGTCCAACACTCATATAAATATTAGCCTACTCATTAAGTACATAAATTTCCTACATGGATACCAAGTTTCAAGTCAATGGGATGCATGGTTCCGTAGTTATAACGGAACATCCGTAAAAACCACTGTAGATTTATATATTAGTATAGATTTGTCTTTTTAATGTTTTAAACTTATTTAAAACATTAAAAATCTTTTAATCTTAATTAAGATTTAAGATCTAATTTTCCGAGATATGTATATCGTATTATTGTGTCCAGCCATAAACATTCTGTACTACGCGCGTTTTTTTGGTGTCCTTAGTTAAATATCTAGAAAATTGTCCATATTATTGCATAGAGGGGTGGACCAGCTCGCAACTCATTTGATCTTAAGTAGTTACAGGAGTCAATAGACATTACGAGGTGAATGCCGTTATTGACATTGACACCGCGAGGTTGGAGTCATAGTTAGTCAAACCGGAACGTAATGCTGCTTCGTGACAGAAATAGGCAGAGTGGGGGGTACTTACCGTGCAGCATTAGAATATGCCATACGATCAGGTGATGACGAAGAAAACAGTTTCTCAGACTCACTACTCCTCGGAATTGAGATGTTAGTATCATTGCTAATTTGAAATTAATATGTGTCCGTCGTCTGCAATACTAGATACAAGAATCCTAATGCGTGCAAGCTCAGTTTGGAAACATACAAAAATAAAACATATCGTCTTCTCGCATTAAAACTGTATAATCTCAAAACTTCCTATTATAATTTTACAGGAGAGTGTTTTAAAGGTTTAACATGTTATATTTTTAATATTAATCATATTTGCAACATTTATTTTTTATTATTACCAGTTACATTATCTGTCTTTTAAAGTAAGATAAAATTATGTATTAATTTTGTTAATAGTAGTCAAAACATAGGTAAACAAAAAAACTACGCTCTTGAGAGTATTTATGAGAAAAATATTAGTGATACCAAATGTTTACGCATATTAACTCAATTCCGAATATTTTTGGAAATTGTATTTTAATGCGAAAAAGCGATATAAGAATAAGCTCTGGAACTGAGACCTGAGTTCGCTTAATAAATGTACACACGGACGACACCTCAGCATCAGGTGAGAGATGTAAATATAAAGTGTGCGTTGTCTGTGGTCCGGCAGCACGTGGCCTCGTGTCGCGTCGAGAACACTCGCGTGAACCCGGACTCCCTGATCGACGAGCTGCTAGCCGCCACCGACTTCCGAGGGGACCACGACGACGCCGCAGAGAGTGAGGACACTTAACGTCTTGTACACTAGATTGGGAGGAATCGGGACGATTTCCAATTCCAACGCAAATTTTCAGCAGTTTTTCTTAGGGTAATATCAATAAAATTCAGATTAAAATGGTTCCGGAGGTTTAAATTTTCATATATGATGTATTATTATTCTACATAGTTCATTGAAAATATATACACAAAAACTTAAAAAACTGGCTTGACCTGATCCACCTTGGCTTTTGTGGTGAATCGGGTCACGTATGGGGCACTGTTTAGTTGTTAGGTAGGTAAATTTTTAGGTAATTAACTTTTCAATACCTATTTTTAATTAGTTACAAAACTCTGATGACTAAATTAAACTATTTAATATTCTTAAACACTAAATAAAAGTCCTCTTCAGTTCAACAAATTTAAATCTCACAAAAGCATTGTGTCATCCCAGATTTGTCCCTATTCTACCCAATCTACGGTATTGTTTTCCCTGTAACATATTGTATCCAATGGTTTTAATAGGACGTCATCGCGTACTGACTCTGCAGTGCTGACGTCAGTCGACAACGTCAACTGGTTTAGCGCGAAAATTGAACACGCTAATTAAACTTTTTTCTAAATGCACTGTGTATAGTAATCACCAAACTTTATGACCGCTCCGAACGTAGCCGCATTACGCTGCGCAGAACACAAAATCAGGTATCAGCGGGACGTGCGCGGGGCGCCGAGGCAGGGCACCCCCGCGCGCGTCCTCGCCTCCCGCGCGGTAGTGCGAGTGCTACATTAAGTGTATAATCTATGAGTGCTACGTTCGTACACTAATCACATACTCGCTGAGCTCCGACAGTATCGTCGCGTTCAGATTGTTACTTGTACTGATATTTCTTTCTCGTTGCTATCGTTATTAATTACAAAAAAAATCTTGGTTATGAAATGTTCACCCGACTGTACCATGCGCAAGTTCGTGCCGACGACTACATTCAGATTGGCGAGTACTATACGTAGTTTTGAAAAAAATTGTCCGTACAAAAATTGAAAAGTGTAGAGGTAAAAACACTTTTAAGTCTCTTTCGTGAAAGTCGTAAATCGTGTGTCGGCTTGCAGCGTCGGGCCTGCAGTTGTTCATCGCACGCGACGGCACCGCCGAGCTGGGCACCCGCCAGCGCCAGCAGCAGCGCGCGCACTACCAGCGCGTCGTGCTGCAGCCCGCGGACCACAGGTCGCTACCAGCAATCATCGAACCCAAAATATATTGTTTGCTAATTATGTGTATTTTACAAAACTCTGAACTCAAGAACAGATTCCGCCCGAGCCCCTTCCGCGCCTGTAGCGGCCCCCGGACCCCGCGCGCGACACAACGGGCCTCCGAAACGATAATAATTACATTATTAGGAACTAAATGATACATGCTACAATAAATTGCAACATTTGTTCCAACACTTAATCATCGTTATTTAATCCTTTTAGTGCTGAGCCTAATTTCACATATTTTGCAGAAATTATTAAAAGACATTTGAAAAAAAAAAGTAATTATACCTTATAAAAAACTTCAACTTAAATAAAGTATAAAGATCAATGCTAAATTGATACTGGTGGTAGGACCTCTTGAGAGTCCGCACGGGTAGGTACCACCGCCCTGCCTATTTCTGCCGTGAAGCAGTAATGCGTTTCGGTTTGAAGAGCGGGGTAGCAGTCACTATACTGAGACCTTAGAATTTATATCTCAAGGTGGGTGGCGCATTTACGTTGTTGATGTCTATGGGCTTCAGTAACCACTTAATACCAGATGGGCTGTGAGGTCGTCCAGCCATATAAGCATTAAAAAAAAAAATTCGCAGCGACATAGTTTTAAATGGATATTTGTAAATGCTATCATTAACTTATTAAAAAAGGTTATAGATGTGCGTGCCAACACACGTTCGTCAGGTCGATACCTAATACTTATAATCAAACTGCGCAAATAGTCGGTATTCCGACGCTCTAAGCTTTATACGCCCTAATAGGGAGTCGGTCTATCGACGATTTGCACTCGAAGGATTAAAATAATCGTACTCGTGATCTCCCCCTTCCCTTCCGATCTCCAGGGAGACTTTTCAAGTCATTTAAGTTTCCTGGTTTAGGTTTTACAGGGTCTGTCAGTTCTTTTTCTTCTGCCTTGAGAATGAAATATTTCAATACCGTAAAACGATTCCAGGTAGCCAACGGTATTTGAGGAGGGCGTCACCGAGGAAGGTCTCGTGACGCGGCGTGACGCGACGTGACGTGGCGTGACGTGACGCGACGTGACGCGCCCCCTCTGCGTGTGCCACCTGCTCGCGTGCGCTGCCGGCACCGAGTGAACACTTCCATATTTAATTATGCGACGAAAGCAACAAGAGACATCATTTTATTGCAATACAATTTGTAAAATAACAACAATAAAATATGTTTCAAATGTATTAATCTACTGCGGACTATGTTTCAATGTTTAGATATTGTTGTTCATGCTCTGTGGCGGCGGTGCGGGCCCGGCCCACTTCGGCCGCGTTGTGCCGCGTAGTGCCGCGTACAGCGCGACGCGTGCTAATTGTTAATTTAAATTAAACCAGTTAAATATTATGCTTATATTAATTTATTGTGTATAGTTGCGCGGCGGGCGCGGCGTGACGTCACGCGCGTGCCATACATGTTGTTTGTTTTCATTTTGTATCTAAGGGCGGGCGCACGTTGTGTCCCGCGCGGACGAGCCACCGCTGTCCCGTGTGTGCCACTGTGCCGACCGGGGGTTGCGATTGTAAGGGGAGCCGCACGACGATTTAATGTTCCTATGTAATGACTAGCCACGGCGCTTCCTCCACTTATCTAAGTTCGTGCTGTTCACCAATACTTACCTCAGATATTGTTCAGAGGAATCGAGTTAGAAGACATTATCGAGTAATGTCCATCTAAACAATTTCGTCTGTACTACGTTCGACGTGACGGAGCAGTCGGTCCTGGGCGCTCCCCCCTCCCCACGAGGGGGCCGAGGGGCGGAGCGTCCCTGGTGCGGATTGAGCTGTCAAATATTTAGTTGTGACATCGTGGTGCGGCCCGCGGGCGCCGGCGCTGTTCCGGGTCGACACGTCGGTGTCAGCTGTGATTCAAACGTTATGATTAGTGCTGTATTGTGACTTTATATTGTAGGTTACGTTTTTGTATTTTGTTAAACATTACATGGTCGTTGACCCGGAACAGCGCCGCGGTAATGTAGCGGGGGGCGGGGGGACATGTTGTCCGGAAGTCTGTACAGTATTGAATAAAGGACGCGTTTAGAATTCGATTTGTTTTATTTTGTTACTTTTGTTAAACAACTTAAAAAATGAAGTTCCCTATTCGAATGTGTTTTACGTGTGTTCGTAAGCTCCGAACTATTGTCTAGATAAATCGATTTCTAGGACTTTTTTTATCTGACTGATTTTTTAATAACGCTTAATAATGTTTAATATTTAAGAGTCTTCGAATAGAGTTGTTCGGTTCTTATTTTGTTACAAGTCGGTTTTCTTTGGTAAATTTTTGGTAAAAGTAAAAGAATGAAACAAATTCATAAGTATATTTGTTTATTGAGTAGAGGCCAACAGGCGGCGTGCTGAACACAAAATGAATCATCACACTTCGTACATTAATTTCAATCTCATAGTTAACAATTTAAGTACATTTTACTTAACATTACACATCACTACACTTAGTGTCTTAATAATATAATAAAATCGTAAAACTCGTGATATTTACACACTTCGCAATACTTAAAGACTACAACGTTTAGTCGATTATTTAAAAGTTTAAGTAAAAAGAGATGATGGTGGACGGTAACTGTTTTTCGCAAGTCTCACCACACAGCCGCGCTGCACACACGTATTTACACAGTATATTAACTAAGATTAGATTACGTTAGTCGATAAATTTAAAATACCGCGCGCGTCAAAGTTCAATGCTCTGACCAGTCGCGGCGCGGGAGGGCGGGAGGGCTCGCATCGCCTCTCAACTGCTAGAGGCACCGGCACTCCGCCGCACGCGTCGCCGCTCTTATTTTGTTCAACAGTTTGATGTTGAATTGAAGTTAAATTCTCAATACTGTTACGATTTATAGATTACTTGAATATTAAACAACAATATATACTATGTTACGGTTAGTCGCAACACGTACAGTTAAATACTAAAATACAATATCTTCGTATGATTCAAAACGTCAGTACTTCGCATGAGTCTCTTTATAGACAGTCCAGTCACTAAAATTTTAATAACAATAAGTTGTGTATCGTTATCGTTGTATCAGAAAATCAATAAAATTAAAATGAATTACATCAGTATGCTACTCTCGTCTATACAAGGTACTATAGGAATGTTATTTAATTAAGTAATTGGAATGGTTCTACCGTACTGGTTTATTAATATAAGTGAAACTACAAACTGGGAGACGAGGCGCGGGGGGCGGGACACTCCGACGCGACCCCGCCGCAAGGGGGACTGCTATTTTAATAATAAATATCTTATTGGCTCACGGTTTTAACACTTCTCTGTTCAATGATATTCCAATATATCCTAGAATTGCTAATAGTTCACGAACGGTGAGCACTCGCACTTTACGGCAGGTTCGCTCGGAGCCACGAGAAGAGCCACTCGGCTGGACAACCAGCGCGCCAACAGAACTAATAACTTACAAAATCTTGCCGCGGACCTAATATCGCGTCGCAAACCTATACTACTACTAAACTTAAAAACTATCAATAGAAATATTAATTTCGATATTATTAACTCTTATCCTACTGCACCAATGACCCGTGGATCGCTTCGGCTGACCGATACACCCCGCGCCCCCTCCCCCCTATACATACATAATATTTACATTACAATTCGCAGATTACATCTCTGTCAGTGTATATTAGATTTGGATCGAGAGGGTAGTTGTGGAACAAAGCGATCATATAGTAGGAGCCGGCGAAGTGACCGGTTGTAGCGGCGCAGTGCTGCCCGTGGGCTCAAGCTGCAACTCTGAAGGAACCTCCTCACGATATCTTCACTGACAGCTGCTCGCTCTCCGACAGTGTGTGCGCGAGTGAAAATAGAAAGTATTCAAAGTTAAGAAGTAAATAATCTCGTTATGAAAAGAAAATGCCGCAATGTATTCTAAAAGGCACAGATCCAAGTGAGTTCCGCGCGGAGACTGCGCCCCCGGGGGCTCGCACAGCACGCTCCGTACTATTAGTACATAATATAGGCAAAGATAAAGAGAAAAAATCGAATAGAGGTATACAAACATAATAATTATTATAAAAGTCTTAGCTCGCAGCTACATACATATAAGCTTCCTACATGACCGTGCCCTACTGCCAGCCGACGGAAAAATCTTCTAAATAGTTTATCTGAAAGGGATCTAACAAAGACCGTATTTGAATTTTTGTTTACACGGTATAATTTTATGAGAATTTATTTGTATTGATGTATACATAACCACGATACAGAATGGAGGTCGGATCGAGTTTTATAATTACTGACTTCTTGTTTGTGTTGTTTTTTTTCATTCACTTCAAGTATATATATGTTAAGTAAATAAGTCTAATATATAGTTGCGCACTACGTTTGCCCCGAGGCGTCAGTGAGCGCTCGTGAGCGCGCGTGAGCACGGACGAGCGCCGCGCCTTCTGCGGGCGAGTGCGTCTTCACTAACACGTAATTTAGAATCTTGCACGCTTCACATATACACGTTTACTTAAAGACTAGGTCCCGGGCGGCCGAGCGTGCCCAGGAGCAGTCCCGGGGTGTTGCTGCTGTCCACGCGCCACAGCCCGCTCGGTCGCCCGGGGGGTTTCAACAGACGCACAGCGGCGACCTCAACGCGTGTAAAACATTTCCCAAAAATAAGGCACTTCGTTAATTTAATTCGTAACAATTCTTATCAGTAATAATATGTTAATACTGTTTGTCTGTTGAAATCACTTTTCTATATCTAAAATTGATTATACTAATGCCTTAATGATCTATTAATGATACAATACTTGAATAAAATTACATTTTTAAGTTCTGCCAGTAGCAACCGTCGTTAAGCTATGATTACAGTTCACCTACTGAAGGGGACGCCGATGGATGGGGGGCCGGGGACCCGCTGCGCCCCCCGGGGGACACTATATTTTATTTAAAGAGTTGTGAAAGGCCACTCCTGTTTTTTAATTTAATAATTCAATTGTTATTAAATAATTTTACGATGTGTCAAGCCGGTGGTTCATTTTGTTGAGTCAAATTCATTATTTTATTGTTTATTTCATTTTAGATATTTCTGGAGTTAATCTCTCTATTACTGCTTTGTGTCTAAAGTTTGGAAATTCTTTGAGCAGTATATAGTAATTATAAGCAGAAAAAAGTTCAATGTCAAGAGTTTAAGGGAAGCCATGACCCTCGAAGGAAATTCAAAGTAACAACACATGTAAAAACGATTTGCAATACGTTCTTTATAAAGTCATAAATATTGTTTCTATATGAAGGGGCGTTCAGGCACCAGTTACAGCCTGCATGGCGTGGATTTGTTGGCACCTCGACCTGGTCCCCCGGCCCCCAGACCGCTGGAGGTGGAGCAGGGCAGCGGACAGGAGGCGCGCGTCCAGTTATGACTATTTAAACTCGAATGCTCGAAGTTTAATATTTGTCGGTGTTGCAAAGCGCGGGGGATAGGTCCGCCCACAACGTTGGTCCCGTATGACTAAAACGATTGCAAACAAGTCGGACGCCACGTCCCGCCGACGTCCCACACTAAGACGTATTCAAATCAATTGAGTTAAAATTTACTTAAAAACTAAGTACTTAAAATTATTGCATTTACAATCACATACCAATTAAAACGTTTTTATTGTGTAAATATTGCTTTTTGTAAATATTCAATTTCATTCTTAAAATATATGAAATGTTTTATTTATCTCTGGAATGTAAACACCCGCATTATTTCATTAATATACGACACTCCCCCGAGGTATCACTTGCGAGACTGACCGCCAGCCAACAGCCGCTGGTTCAGTCGGAATGTATAACTTAACAGTCTCCAAATATTCTAATTCGGGTCGGACTGTACGTCGTCACGTCGTGCACGCCAGCCAGCAATGTTGCCAGCCGAATGATCTAATAAATTAACAAAACTATTTCATTCATGGTAACCCAATTCACACTGGCAACACTGCTCGATTGGTTACAACATTAAGTACACAATTAAATTAAAAGCTACCATTTCTTCTTAAAGCTAAAGATTGAGAAGCTCGCGTGTGCCGGGCGCGGCGGTGACGTCACGGTCACGGGCTAGTTCCTTGTTTCCTTTCGTCAGCGAGCTGGGCTGTTAGGAACAAAAATACGGTACGTTTAATATTGGGGGTCCGAGCCCCGACAGTGCGCCCCGCCACTGTGGGGACCGGCTGCGTCCCCCTCCCCGGGGGGACAGGGGGACGCGCGAGGGCGAGCTCATGCGGATTGTTTCATTTGGTTATTTCTTCAGATTTAAACGTGCGATCGGGAGTATATTGATTTCATAGTACATGTGGAAGTGCCTGAGGGTGGGACAATATCACAGTCGCCAGACGCGGCTTGTCGAGTTGTACTAAAAACTCCACTGAAATCTCAATAAATTACCAAAGAACTGCTTCTCATTACATCAGTCGAGTACCTCCCGACGCTATATGAGTCTCTCCTCGGGAGGCGGCTTGAGCGCGTGGTGGTGCATCTCCGCGCGAGGGTTGCAGTACTCCTGTCCGGAGGGAGAGTAGGTGCCGCGGGTGGCTCGCTTGCGGCGGGCCTGCGCCCCCAGGGCTCCCAGCGCGCCACCCGCCAGCGCCAGCGCCACCAGAGCGCCCCCCACCCCCAGCAGCACGGCCGACGAGTTGTCGCTGGTCCCCTCCGACCCCTCCGCCACGGCCTGTGAGTGAGGCAGACTTTCATTTCATGTTAAATAAAGAGTACAACACAACACGTCATTATACGAATTTTTCACCAAAATTTGTGCAGGCGTTCCCCGCAGGGCTTGTATAATATTACGACGGACCTGCTGCGTGCAGTTCTTGCCGGCCCAGCCGTCGGTGCAGCGGCACACGTAGTCGGGCTCGCGGGCGCAGCGCTGCTCGCACACGGCCCCGTGCTGGCACGGCTCGGCGCCGCACGGGTCCACGAGCGCGCACTCCGCGCCGCAGTAGCCGCGCCCGCACACGCAGCTGCGCGCACACAACGCCGAGTTACAACATGCACTCTACTGCGAGTGTCGCGCGAGGAGGCGGCCGCTCGACCAACCGATAAAATTTAAATGTCATTCCATTAAAAACAAAAAAGTACCCCGCCCCGTCCTCTACCCCCGCACCCCCACTGGACCTTCAAAATTACGTTGTGACGAAGTCGTTTTTGATGTAATATTTTCCATTTTTTTATACACCTCTCAGTAAAAAGATTATCTATGAAAATAAACAGTTGATGGTAGTACAGCGGGTGGGAGGTCGCGCAGATCTGAAGTTGAACTGATTTCAGAAGACAACAAACAACTAGCGTATATTATGTGGTTACTCACGTGTAGGACCCGTTGAGGTTGCGGCAGTCCCCGGGCCCGCAGCTGACCAGCCCCTCGGCGCACTCGTCCACGTCCACCTCGCAGCGCGCGCCCGTCCAGCCTGCTCACAATATCCTCCGTCAGAATAAAATGACATCACTAACTCTACACCCGGATGGTGCGTGCTAAAAATAACCCTTGGAAACGCACGGTGGGTGGACGCAGTGGGTCCGGCGGCTGATGGTACGTCCGTAAACAAAAAAACAGCCAATAATGGGACCCTCTCAAACAATTCCTCCACGAGTAAAGCGGGTTTCCCCATAGCAGGGGGGAGGCCCTAATCTACTATCGAAGGATTCAATATCCAAAAATAATATTCCACGGGGGAGTAGTCGGAGTAAATAAAATAACTCTGTTGGAAAGTCTGATTTTTGTAATGATAAAAATGTCGATATATATGAACGAGCTGAAGGGTCCACGACCGGGGGTCTGGGAGGACATTGTTTGAATGCTCACTTGAACATAACTCTATAAACAAAACGAATTTCTCGATGAACAGATAAAAAATCTACTAATAAACTATTTTTAAGATTTAATTTGGTGTTTACTATTGCCAGTAGATATGTCAGCGGTGGTGGGCGTCCGGTTCGTCGTGGCTCGGCGACGCTTATTTATTAATTCTAATTATTTACCCCACTCAAACAAACTGCATTATTTTTTATGACTCTAGAGACTTTTGTGTATTGCTTTACTTAATTTCACAAGTTCGAGTGCAACGATAATGAGTTGTAATTATCACCGATAAAACAACAAAATCGAGATAATTACAAATACATTTGTGATCGCAGACGAACGTAATATTAATACATTAAATTATCACACCCTGTATAATTACAGTTCACTGGAGTTAGTTAAGTCGGACTCTGTTAGAGCGCAGCCAGATTAACTTGTATGTTTGTTAATTTTTTTCATCGACTAAAACGTTATGTTTTTCGTGAGACTCAAAATATGAGTCAAGATGCGAATTTCTAGTTCGACCTCATGCCTCAAGTCGGGCGGCGCCGGCTCGTTACCGTGTCCACGGGTGGACGCGGATGCTTGCTCATGTTTTAACGCTAAGGTAATGAGATAGCGGAGCGCAGTACAAATCCGAGCGGGTCCGTACCTGCCACAAACACGAAGACAACTATCCTCTCCATCACGTACAGCACGTTCATTGCACAATTATTCGCATCACTCACAAACCTTATTTCGATTTTATTAAAAACATTACTAAATCTAACACTTATTTGTAAGTACTTTTTAAATTTTCAGTAGTCATTATTATTTTTGATTTGACATCACGAAACAAATTTATTTATCAAAACCATTTTTCACTCCTAATCCCAATTCATCCAATAATTAATTCTTTAGATGTCACAATCTAAAATTCCGAAACTTATTGAGTACAAGCGCTTTTTGCAGCAGGAAATATGTGTTAAGAGGTCAGAGTGTTGTGTCACACTTTACCAAACTGACGCGGGCAACGGTGACGCGGAGCTGGCGGCTCCCAAAGTGCGCACGCGGGCGGGGTGCGCGGGGGGCGTCGGGGGGGGGGCTGCTACGGAGGACACGGGTGGGTAGCGCGGGGGGGGGCGCAATCGTCTAATATCCAGTTGTCGTACTTGTGACGTGGTCACGGCAGCAGCAGAGCCCCTTTAGTTCCTATGGCGAGCTCCGTTACTTCATGATCAGAGCTGGTAATAGACTGATTTAATCCGAGTGCGCAACGTCTCTCCCTTTGCAATGGGATTGAGTAAGATCTAGACTTCTCTGTCGCGTGAAGGCCGTAACTACAGTTTGAACTAGTTTAGGAAAGATATTAACATATATCTAAGGTGTTTATTGGAATATAAAGCCCGCTATAAACATCCTAATAAAATAGAATACTAAATTCATTAAGATTAAGAAAGAAGATTAAGAAATATGTCATTTTGAAATATTCTTGTACTATGGGAAGTGTTACTTTGGTTTGAATAATATTACATATTTTAACTTTGGAATTATTTCATTAATATATGTTATTTATATCGACGCTTGAAAGGCAAACGTGACCAAGCGACAATGCGTGAACTTTACAGTAGACTAATTTAAAGTTGAAATACCTGAAAAAAAATCTATTTTAACGAATCTAGCTATAGGCTTGAAATGATTTTAATAGACCTAGAAGCATGTTTTTTTGCGCATCAAATATAGTTATTGCCTATAATTTATGTACAAAGTAGTTATTGTCGCTTAGTCACGTTTGCCTTTCAAGCGTCGAATATGATGTATCGGAATCAGCAACTATGTAATATATGTATTGTGACTACGCGCGTCCTCGCAACGTCTTAGTTTTCCTCCTCGACCCGACCAGGAAATAAATATATTACAACTAAATTGGAACCGATAATAATTTGTGGGTCCTTTATTGGAGCGAATTTTTATTTGAGCAAAACTTTGAGAGCTTGTGGTTAACGTTATCAGTTTATCAGCTGCTATCAGCCGCGCGCCGCCGCCAGCGATAACAGCCGCCTTATCGATCAGTATAATGATAAACCTACAACTATGAGCAGGTTTCTTTATTTGTTGAAATCAAAATGTATTTATTCCTCAAATATTGATTACCAAACAGTAAATATATTTATTAACCAATATATTTATGAAAGAAAATATTCTGTATGTTTAAATATTCATGGAAGTAAACAACATTAGATAAGGCGACCGTACGCCCGGAGACGTGTCCAGGTTCGATCCCGGCATTTCCTGATCTCTTCCTCATTTTTGAAAGAAATGTCTACATGACCACGGCCCTGCCTAATTCTGCCGCGACACTAGGACACGTTCCGTTCGTCGGTAGGGGGAGACGGGTCGTGCGTGTGTGTGTGCGTGCGTGTGGGTGTGTGTGTGTATATGTGCGTGC